ATAGAGAGGATGGGAGTCAGACAGACTTACTGACTGCTGAATTACGTGTGTGAGCGAACGAATTGAATGAACTCGTAGTTGCATGGACGAGTGCAAGTAGACCGTTTACCTCTGATATCTAGAACGAGTGTCTGTGAATTAGGATGCACGTTTTCAGATATTTCTTTAGCAATTCACGTATCTATATGTTTGTGGGATAGCAGCTGTAAAAGTCAGAAAATATTTCCTCTATCCTTGACCATAAGTATGTAAATACAGGATAGCGCCAGCCATCGTATGAATGCATGACAGCAATGTGCCTCAATGAGACTAAATGACCATAAAGACGGGGTGAAGCACCGGACACGCGTGCTTACGCTCAGGCTTACATTTTTGTCTTTTCGTTTCTCTTTTGTTTCCCTTTTTTCATTTTTTTTTCTGCTTCTTCATTACAACCTCATATTCCTATTTAGTTTCTCATACCCGGAGGGTATTTGTTTCCAGTTAGTGACTCATTAATGGTCTCCAACTTTAAGGTTAGTGTTGAACTTCAAACTTTTAGACTCGAAGCTTCAGACACATACTTAAAGTAGCAGCAGTTTTTCATAATGGCCGGCGCTCGTGCAGTCCTTATTCATGCGAGCATCTGACAAATGTGCAAGGAGTGCTTACACTTTTACCCAACATTAGAGCTGATTGGCTGCAAGGGAATCGGGGGTTCAAATGCCCCAGGTGTTTGTTTGGTCTCGTTCTGTTGGGGCCAAAGTATTCGAGGATCTCTTTTATTTCTTTGCTAAACGTTTTATTTTGTTTGATTTGATTTGGTTTGATTTGGTCTTTAAATTACTTATGTGTGTTTATTGAAAAGTGGCATTGGTATATGTCATTTCCCCAAAGCTGTTGATGCAGATTGGAAAATGCTGCAAAATGGTGGGATTGGTATTGTCCTAAATGTATTCATTCGAATCTCTTTGATATACACAAAATTACTTAAGAAAAAAGGAAGAGAGAGAGAGAAAAAAAGAGAGGGAGAGAGAGAGAGAGAGAGAGAGAATGAAATTTATCGACTTTATTTTGTAACGTAAAACACCGCATGCACACACACACACACTATTTATATATATACACACACACACACATATATATATGCTGCAAAATGGTGGGATTGGTATTGTCCTAAATGTATTCATTCGAATCTCTTTGATATACACAAAATTACTTAAGAAAAAAGGAAGAGAGAGAGAGAAAAAAAGAGAGGGAGAGAGAGAGAGAGAGAGAGAGAATGAAATTTATCGACTTTATTTTGTAACGTAAAACACCGCATGCACACACACACACACTATTTATATATATACACACACACACACATATATATATGCTGCAAAATGGTGGGATTGGTATTGTCCTAAATGTATTCATTCGAATCTCTTTGATATACACAAAATTACTTAAGAAAAAAGGAAGAGAGAGAGAAAAAAAAAGAGAGGGAGAGAGAGAGAGAGAGAGAATGAAATTTATCGACTTTATTTTGTAACGTAAAACACCGCATGCACACACACACACACTATTTATACACACACACACACACACACACACACACACACACACACACATATATATATATATATATATATATATATATATAAGTATGTATGTATATATGTATATATATATAAATACATATAGTGCAATTAGCAAGCCTTCATCTCACGGTCAGAAGTTTCCCTGTAATATATATTAAAAGAAAATGCAGATGGTAATCCTGATATCATTCTCCGGGAACGATTTTGGAAAGAAAATCAACACTGGGCATGAAAGGTAGACCTTAATTTTCTGTGACTGGAACCAACTATTCCATACACTAATGGAAATTTCGTTTTCACGTTTATGTTTTAACAATATTTTTATGAGCCCTGTTATGTCAATATTTTCTTTATCCAGTTCAGTTAAGTTGTTGTTAAGCCAGTTTTGAGTCCTTAGAGTGGGAGTGGACAACTCGAGAGAGAGAGAGAGAGAGAGAGAGAGAGAGAGAGAGAGAGAGAGAGAGAGAGAGAGAGAGAGAGAGAGAGAGAGAGAGAGAGAGAGAGAGAGAGAGAGAGAGAGAGAGAGACGGAGAAAAACGACAATAAAAATGGACTAAGCATTTAAAAAAGCTTTACGATAAAAGAAAGAGACAGGCAGAGAGAGAGAGAGAGAGAGAGAGGTGGCGGGAAGAACTAGAAGAAGTCAGCACGAGTAAGTGAAGCAGAACAGAGAGCTGATCATACATGGAACAAGAGAACATCACCGGCCAGACAGTAGGTTGAAGGACTCCTGACACTGGAAATGACACACAAGGTACAGATTCTGCTCACCTGGCCGATTCCCCTCAACAAGCTGTCTATTGTCTTCAGGAGAGCCCAAGGAGACAGCCAGGACCGACGCCCCAGAGCCCTGCTGACGGCGGGGGAATGGCCCACCACCCAGCCAAGAACACCGGGCTGGAAAGGAACATTGGTAAGCGTCAGTTAGGTGTGAAAGA